ATTCCATTGCATGCGTTTTACAAACAACCCTAAATAGCCGACTTCCTGTTGGGCTGGGGTAAAAAGTAAGAGCATGAAGTATATATGAACCGATGAGATCTATATGTGTACCGAGTTTCATATTCTTACATACAAGCGTGTTTGATTTATGGACCAAGTTTTCGGACCCCGTTCCAGGGGGCGCTGTCGAGCCCCCCTGCCACGCCCGGGTACCATCTTCACCCCGACCCTGATGGCCGCGGGTTCTGACCCGCGTGCAAAGTTTCAAGAGTTTTCGTGCACGTTAAGAGCCCCAAAAGTGCCCGAATAGTCGTAAGAAAAATAAAAGAGGAGAAAAAAAAAAAAAAATATAGCTGCGAGCAGCGATTACGGGCCCAAGCCGGTGGCACCGCAACCCCGGTTCCTTTAGTTACCTAAAGGCACCGGGGTGGCGGTGCCGCCGGCTTTGGCCCTTCATCGCTGCTCGCAGCTATATTTATATATATATATATATATATATATATATATATAAATTATATATATATATAAAAAAAATATATATATATATATATATATATATATCACTTGCCTTACCGGATTAGAACAATGAAAACAATAAAAAAATAACTAGGGAATCACTAAACCGAGAGAATTAATCTGTTTTGATGATACACTCAAAATATTACACAAGCAATTCTTTAAATTTAATGATATTCAGAACAGAACAAGAATAAAAAAAAACTATAATTAAGAAATAACCGAAATAATTGAAAGCGAAAGTGAAAGTAGGTGGTGTTTGGCTCACGTAACTCTCTCATTAGAATCAAACTGTTTCAACATTTGCGATGTATTTGGATGCTAAACTATTCTTCATTATGGGCTTTGTACTTCACTCAGGTTTCAATATGTGTGTGTGTGTGTGTGTGTGTGTGTGTGTGTGTGTGTGTGTGTGTGTGTGTGTGTGTGTGTGTCTGTGTGTCTGTGTGTGTGTGTGGGTGAGGTGCGGGTGCGGGTGCGATTGAACTGTTACACATAAAAACATACTCCGTCATTTTGTTCATAGAGGACATCATTCAAACTGCAAAGTGTTTACTTATATTTGTGTACACTCGCAATAAAACACAACAAAGTGCTTTTGTCAAACTATAAACTCTTGTCAAACTGTAACCTACAACTGTCACCCAACTAAAATCACACGCACACACTGTCTAAAAGCAAAAAATATTTATCCAACCCCATTTAAAACAGTCTGTGGGAGCCATCTTTTGGACATTCACCATATCGCATTGATTTTCATTTATTGTCCTCAGAGCCCTAATCTGTTTATTTTTCAATTACACATTCTACATTGATTAAAAAAGAAAATTCTAATGTGTTTTTATTTTATACAGGAATAAGTTATTTATAATTCAGATGAGAATAAAGTTAGTGTTAGTTCAAATTTTAAGGAAAACAAATATATTGATCTGAAATATAGCACATTCATCTCAGGTTAAATTACCAAACATACAATCTTAATTTAATTTAAAGCAAACGATACATTTAAAATATATGGGTTGTATGCATATTTTGGAATTAAAAAAAAAGATATTTATCCAAAAAGACAAGGCCTTAAACTTGAACAAGGGTTAAACTCTTGTCGCTGTAAGAGACACAATGATTCAGCATTTTGAACGAATCGATTGACTCAAAGATTCAATGACCAATCCATAAACATGTATTGTCTCATTCATGAATGACTCAGTCGTTCGAACGAATCATTTGAACGAATGAATCAATGACTCACTCATTAAGACGGTCGCCTGGCGACACCTAATGACGGTTTAGTGTTATGTTTAAAAGTATCATTCTTTCCAACTCATATTTAAAACAATCTCACATTATTTAATGCATTGTTATTTTTCAGTGTAAACGATTTAATTTGATCACCCCTACCTAGAGTAACAGCCATATAGTGTCTTATTATTCTAAATAATTGAATTTATTGATCAAATTTACAAATTAAAAATGAAAGATGAAGCATACATTTAATAAGACTAGACTAGGGGTGCCCAGCAGATATTACAATTGGCAGATTTAAATATACCATGGCCCCCCACCGTCAATTTGGTGTGTGTATAATAAAATCATTTAGTCACTACAATTAAAACTTGAACGTATTTGCTTACTAAATTGTGAGCAGAACGAAAGTTGCAGCAAAGATCAGCAACAGGAGTCAAAATTCATTAATCACGAGAGTGAAGAGCTGACTGGAAAAATTATGACGGAATATTTTGTGTAAAAGCGCCTATATAAGCGAATCTGTCATTTACTCTTTTGTTGTTGTCTTTTCCCTGAAAACCGGAAGCAATCGGTCCCCGATATGGCGCTAATTTTAGTGACACTAAAAAGTATGCGGCTGCACTGGAATTCATAACGGTGCGCGTCCATGGCGACGAGCGAGCAAAACAGAGCGAATGTTTTTTCATTTCTACTTCCATAGAAATTCATTCGAGCGCACTGTGAGCGCCACCACTATAAATGTCCGTGCGGACGTCCTTACTTTACTTTCACTTTTAACTTAGCGATTTAACACGTTTTACACGTCAAATAACCGGTGAGAAAATATTCTCGGAGTCACATAGGCTACCTAATATATTTAAATACAATAGGCCTACCTGATTTTGAACACAAGAGGGCAGTATAGCCCTATGTATTATTTGATATATTTATTTTTTTAACTGAATAGTGCATCCTGGCTGTTTTTAAACTTGTACATTACTCTTAAATTGAAAACAAGAATAAAATGGGTTTAGTTGTGATATTTGTATAATTTTATCTAGAAATAAATGGTGTATAATTAAATTTTTAGAAGATATGAGGCTTTTAGTGTTTATTTTTTTTTTACATGATTTTAATCCCTCGCCATAGCAAAACAATTAGAGATATTCAATAGATATTCACAATTATGCTTCTTTAATGTATTTTCATCATGTTGAAAAAGTTTGCTGGGAATAAAATAAACCACTTAAGAGGAGTGGGTAAAAATGTAGAGCCTGGTTTTGCAAAACATCCACATTAAGACAAAAATAGCCCACTTCCTGTTGGGCTGGCTTAAAGTTGTTTGGCCCGATGAGATCTATATACCGAGTTTCATAATATTACATGCAAGTGTGTTTGATTTATGGACCAAATTTTCTGACGAAGTTTATGGACCAAGTTAATTTAATTAATAAACTAATTATATAAAACTATTTTCAATGCACTACAATTCAACTGGTTATATGCCTTTACTTATTAATACAACTTATTTAAAAAATACAAGGCGTAAGACATTTATTTTCTTTTTTAATGCAGGCCAAACAACACAGCAGTCAAATGGTTAATCTAGCCCCCCTCCCCCTCCCCACACTCACAGACACACACACACACAGAGACGTAGGCTCAGAGAGAGAGAGAGACATAAAATGACAATTTTCAAACCAAAATATCTGACTTCCTGTTGGTTGGAGCTATTGAGTGTAAATTAGAAACTTGTCTGGCTGGAGGAGAACAATACACATACCGATTTTTATTACTGTAGATAAAATTAATCCCCCCACTTTTGACAAAAGGTGGCGCTACTGAGCCCTCAACACGCCCGTTTCTGAAACTTTGCACATGTCTACTGGCTAATAAATGAGATGTGTCTGTCGAGTTTCATGCAATTTTAAGCAATTTCAGGCATGCTAAGAGTCTCAAAAGCATAAAAAAAGAATATTAAAGTTTGATGCGTTGCCACGACAACAGTATCTAAGATATCAAGAATCCATTCACAGGTCTACATCTGCCGTGTGTTTACATTATAGTAGTGAAGTTTGAAGCAAATCGGGTAAAAATAAGAGGGTGATTTCAAAGCATTTAGGAAGTGACACACTTCCTTCTGCCAGTTGGTGGCGCTATAACTTTGACTCACAATAGTCACATCCATGTGATCGGGCTCTTACAACGAACACACTGGTGAAGTTTCATCAAGATCAGTTAATGTATGCAGTAGTTATGACACACTTCCTGTTTCACGTTTCTCGCCATAATTTTGTTTCCTCGCCACGGCCAAACCGTTCGAGATATCAAAAATCCCCTCGCAAACTTTCATCCTCAATGTCTTGACTTCATGCTGACCGAGTTTCGTGCCGTTTGTTTGAATTCTCTAGGAGGAGTATTTCACATTCCATTGCGTGTGTTTTACCAACAACCCTAAATAGCCGACTTCCTGTTGGGCTGGGGTAAAAAGTAAGAGTGTGAAGTATATATGAAACGAGGAGATCTACATGTGTACCGAGTTTCATATTATTACATGCAAGCGTGTTTGATTTATGGACCATGTTTTCGGACCCCGTTCCAGGGGGCGCTGTCGAGCCCCCCTGCCACGCCCGGGTACCATCTTCAGCCCGGCCCTGATGGCCGCGGGTTCTGACCAGTGTGCAAAGTTTCAGGAGTTTTTGAGCATGTTAAGGCCTCCAAAAGTGTCCAAAAGGTAGCAGAAAAATAATAAGAATAATAATAATAATAAATAATCCTAAGGAAAACAATAGGGCCTTCGCCCTTTGGGCTTGGGCCCTAATAAAAAAAATAATCCTAAGGAAAACAATAGGGCCTTCGCCTTTTCAAGGCTTGGGCCCTAATAATAATAATAATAATAATAATAATAATAATCCTAAGGAAAACAATAGGGCCTTCGCCTTTTCAAGGCTTGGGCCCTAATAATCCTAAGGAAAACAATAGGGCCTTCGCCTTTTCAAGGCTTGGGCCCTAATAATAATCCTTAGGAAAACAATAGGGCCTTCGCCTTTTCAAGGCTTGGGCCCTAATAATAATAATAATAATAAATAATAATCCTTAGGAAAACAATAGGGCCTTCGCCTTTTCAAGGCTTGGGCCCTAATAATACATCGTTTTATGAATTTTCTGAGTACTTAATTTCTTCTAGATTACTGCATTCATTCACACATGTATGTCATGCCATGAATGAAACACCTGACCTATATCTGCCCTTAGACTGTCCAGGTAATGACTGGAGTGGTGGTCTTCTTTCTTGGTGTTCTCCTCACCATCAATGACTACAATTACCCTGCTATTCTGGTCTATAGTGGCATCACCTACTGGGGGTCTTGCATTGTGAGTTTCACTTAATGTTTTCCATCTTTTGCCACTCTTTTTTTAATTTCCAGAATGAACTGTGAAATGCCGTTTCTTTCTCAGTTCATCATTGCTGGATCTCTGTCTGTTGCTGCGCAGGATAAACTTCATCCTTCTGTGGTGTGTACATACCACTTAATAACTGATATGTAACTGAGAGAATGAGGGAAAGAAACAGAAAGCCCAACACAGGGAACACAAGCAGTCTCTCACAACAAATCACATTTGAACACCCTGGGACGTAACACCCTACTGAAGAGTTTCTGCAAGCCTTTTTAATGATCTGTTGTTTGAGTAAAAGTTGAATACCCCCTCAGTGTCTGAAACAAGTACATTCTGTCTTTGTATAGGTCAAAGCCTCTCTTGGAATAAATGTGTTCAGTGCCATAACTGCAGGACTCGCCATTCTTCTGATGTCCATACAATTAGCAGTAATATCAATGATGGATCCAAGTTTATATGCTGAGGTATTACAGGTCATATTTTTAATTCATGTGTAATGTGTTTTCATCTGTTTTTAATTCGTTTTTTGTTTAAAATTCTGTCATCATTTACTTACTGTCATATGCTAGTATGACTTTTTTCTTCCTTAGGCGCCTTTTTAAATTTATTTTAAAAATATACATCTGTACATAGAGCTGTACATCTCTGTTCCCTCGGGAATGCGGGTTATATACGTAACTGAGACGTTCCCTTTCAGTCGGTCACGTTTGACTTATTGCTGCCACCTTCCAGTGCCCAGCGCAAGCCTCCTGATCCTTTGGGCACCTTGGGGCGGGAGATGGGAAAGGGCTTAGGTCAAGGAAGTCTTAACTGCTGTTCCACATTACCCATTCAGACAGAATTGGATAACACTGGGAAAAGGAACGCTGCAGAAGCCCCATCCACGCCCATAGGTATCAGGGAGGTATCCTGTGGAAGTTACACATATGGACTGGGCGTAAGGGCAGTGCAACACATGTCACTGAGATGGCTCCTGCCTCTGTAGGGGGAGGCAACACCGGTCAGAGACAGCAGAGCGGCTCTGCCAAGGGAAAGACACGGGCTCACCTCAGGGAGCAGTACCGTGGTAGAATACACATATGGGATTCACCAATGCACACGAGTGTTAGGCCTGGGGTGTGTGAGGAATTGGCTGACGGGAATCTCACCAGGAACAGAAATGGCACACGTATCCGGTCCATAAGAGGGGAACGGCACAGCAAGTCGACACTTCGAGTGGGGCCTATGGTGTTGACTGGCTATTGGAAGCGAGCACAGGGGAGGCAACCAGCTCGACATGAAGGCTATAAAACCTAGCAAACGTGTGGATGTAGTGGAGTGGACTCGCAACCTGAGGGGAACGGCAGGTCTTGGGATTGGTACACCAAGATGATGGCATCCACTATCCAGTGGCCAAACTCTGCTTGGAGACAGCCTTACCCTTCTGCTGGCCTCCGTAACAGACGAAGAGCTGGGTCTGAAGAGCTGGTCTGAGGTGCTGAGGCTTTCTGTCCACGTATAGGTGCAGAGCACGAACGGTCCAGAGAAAAGCCAGGGCTGGGCCTGCCTCCTCCGGGCAGTGCTGAAGCAGCCTCTTATGAAGCAAACCCAGCGGTGTTACCCTCTTGATGTGGATGCCATATACCCCAGGAGCCTCTGAAAAAGTTTCAGTGGCCACATTCTGCTCTTGATTGTATTCAAGCAGTTCAACACTGACCGGACACGTTCCTCTGTGAGGCGTGCCATCTGTTTGAGAGTCCAGCTCCATACCGAGAAAAGAGATGCTCTGCACGGGGGATCCTCTGCAGTTTGCTCTTTTCCCAGTTGATCTGAAGTCCCAAATGGCTGAGGTGACTGAGCACCATGTCCCTGTGTTCGCACAACTGCTCCTGAGACTGAGATAGTATCAGTCAGTCTTCGAGATAGTTGAGGGTGCGAACACCACGCTCTCTCATGGAGACACGAAGCGACAGGGACAGCCCGAAGGGTAGGACTCTGTACTGATATGCTTGACCCTCGAACAAAAAAAGCGCAGGAACGACCTGTGTCGCGGATGATCGAGATATGAAAGTGCACAACCTTCAGGTCGATTGCTGCAAAACAATCTTGGGGACAGATGCATTCGAAAATGCGTTTCTGCGTTAGCATCTTGAACGGGAGCCTGTGCAAGGCCCGACTCAAGGTTCGCAGGTCCAAGATTGGCCGTAACCCACCACCTTCCTTGGGTACGAAGAAGTACGGGCTGTAGACGCCGGCCTTTATATCGGCTGGAGGAACCGGCTCTATTGCGTCCTTCGCCAGTAGGACTGCGATCCCCGGACGCAGGAAAGGGGCCATTTGTTCACAGAGTTGAAGTGAACGCCCTGGTCTTGGGTGGGCGCCGGGCGAACTGAATCGCATAGCCGAGTCTGATGGTATGGAGGAACCAGCTAGACGGGTGGGGAAGCCCTCTGGGGGACCAGAGGCACCACAGACATACCCACAGTGGGGCAGCGAGGTGGAAGACAGGGACTCGACTCGGAAGGCATAGCGGCCCGAGCGGGGTCTGAGTGTGCGGTGCAACACTTCCCTGTTTCCACGGATCGGCAGGGGTGCGTGAGAAGGCATACTCGGGTTCGTGAACCCCACCAGGGTGGCAAGGCTTTATTGGGTTGCACACCACCAGTCTGGCCCTCTTGGTGCACAGGAACAAAGGAATTTGCTCTTTTTTTGAAAATGTGGAAAAGCCTCGGTTCCCCAGCCGGCTCCACACTGAGGCCTTGGTGGAGGCTGCTGCTGAGGCCTAGCGGGAGCGGAGCAGGGGGACGCCCTCGGCGACGGGCAGGCGGAAGATCTGCGACCGGCGGGCGGGTGGCGGAACAGAAACAAACTGTAGCAAATTAGCTCAAAAAGGGAATATATCTATATAATTGATCATAACTAGTTATCGTTCATCATGAATGAATGAATGAATGGGGTGGATATTCGTCGAGTGACTATGGCCCCGCATTTCCAGGGCCGATCACTCCAAACCGAGCGACGAGGTCAAGCTAGGCCCTTAACATCACCTGGCTCCATGGAGCCTGGTCACTCCTCCGTATTTAAAGCTGAGCCTTAATTAGTCCCGTGAGCCCAACCCCGCGACTCCATTGCTTCTTGCTCTCAGAGGGAGAGAACGGTGGATAACGAGGGGCGGGCGGGCGAGTGCAGGAGCGCAAAGGAGTTTTCCCATTTTCTAGTGACGCAATACAAGTGAACCGTATCGATAGGGAACCTATGACTTTAGAAGGAATCTTTTGGTTTGTGTCTTTTCTTTTTTTAAGCTTGAATGCCTCGGTTACCATTTATTATAAATGTGTGTAAAACAGTCATCAAAATGTGTCCTGTTCACAGAAGAAAGAAAGTTGTATATAGGTTTGGAATAATGACAGAATTTTTTCTTAATTGCTTTATTATTCTTATTGCTTAAATCTATATCCTGATTGGTGGGACTCTCATAAGTAGCTCAAACTATGCATGCTTCTCAGTAAATTGTGTTGAACGTTTTGTAGTATTTTAGTTTGCGGATCGTTGGAGTAATGCTGGTGTTCACCATTCCTCAGTTCATCATCTCCATCTGTGTCTCAGCATTTGCCTGCAAAGCCTCCTGTAACACACACTCTACACTGGTCAATGTGGCACTAAACTAGGTACATTATTTATTGGTGGTTTTATCCCAACAACCAATAGTTATTTGTGTTGAAGTCTATGTTTTTAGAGAATTGTGCAAATCCAATAAATAAGCCACAAACAAAGGTATAGCTAGCAGAATGAAAAAGAAATATAAAGTTACCAGAATGTTTCATGGTAAACTGCCTTTAACATTGCTTCTCATGAAATAGATATAGGAAATATTAGTCAATCACAACATGCTTTATTGTTTTTCTCTTTTTCAATAAAAATAGTTTGTATGGTGTGTGGTTCTTGTTAGTAAAATTAAACCTGATAATAAGTCTGAGTGTCTTGTGTACTGACATATCTTATCTGTTACTTCCCAGGGATACTGAACCACAGTGAGGAGATCCTACCAGCCAAAGTTTGAGAGGAAGTCATGCTTTATATATATATTTTTTTTTTTTCTAGTGTTACTGGCAAGAATATTTGCGCATATTTTGCTATATATTGGAAAATATGCCTTATTATACTTCTGCATGAGGCAAAGGCCCAAAGTTTTGTAATATAATTTCATTACATGTTTGACTTGGACCAAATATTCTATTTGTTAACCAAGTTTCTGAATTAGTATATCCTGGACTTGTATGTTTAGTCTATTGTGATACTGTTGAGCAAACACACACACACACACACACACACACAAATTCTGTGGTCAAAAAAACACAAAAAAAACAAGGTAAAAACATCTGCATTATCCAAAACGAGTCATCTGGGAACAGTATAAATTCTGAATAGGCAGTTGTTTCTCACATTTTTTAAATAATAGACATATTACCAAGCATTCTTTTCAATCTACAGTCTAATAACAGTATAATCATACACCTGCACCTATTTCTGAATATTACTCGATGAAGAAGTATTGATCTAAGTAGTCTATGTAGCAAAGTAATGTTGTTAATAAAACTAATTTTATTATGTATTATATAATAAGGCTTTGTTTCAAATGGATGAGAAAAATAGCCTATAGTGTCTTGAAAATCTGCAGCTTAAGTCAAGTCAAGTCATCTTCATTTATATAGCGCTTTTAACAATGGAGATTGTTTCAAAGCAGCTTTACAGAGATAAACATACAATTTACGGTAACAGAGATTGTTTTGGCTTTATAGCGATTTTTGAATAATGTTATTTCCAGCTAAAGTTGGTTTTGATTGATTCACTTCCAGCAAAATTATCATTTGTTATTACATTAGGGGCCACTAAGACGACGGCGTTCTCTCTAAACAGACTTTAAACGCGAACCTGTGACCTGATGGCGTTCACATGCGCATTCAAAATTGATTCTATAGTTATATTCGTTTGAATATGTGTGCGCAGATTTGTAATTTCCCTACAAACCATGCCTAAACAAACTACTTGTCTTGCCTATCAAACATATGAATGGGGCGTCTGTCAAATGAAGGTAGGCTGTTGGAGTTTCCAATGCTGACAAAAAGAAACGTAAAATGCACAGATAACGTGTTACTTCTGTATCAATTAAATAAATGACAAAATAAGCAACTGAATAAACTAAAATTAATGTCATAAAATCACAATTCTGTTTTGATTTCATGGTCAGAATCTGGTCTTGGAAAATAAAGTGGTTGTATCCAAAAAGCTCTAAACTAATTTTAGAATTGTTATGTGAGACCATTTAAAAAGGTTGAATACACAAATCAAATATTCAGGTAGTTCACAGCTGCATCTGTCTCAAAAAAAGAGGAATAAATATGTGATTTGATGTGTTTGATCGTGTTGAAACCAGCATGAATGAGTATTTTTGCTTTGACTGATGTGGATATGTGTTCTCGGCCACATCAAACCACGCCTGGCTGGACTGTTCAAGGGTAGCTCACGTTAAAGGTTGTTGCTTTATGCAGAGAGTAATTATTTCACTTTACCAATCTTCTTTATAGACACTAAAATGTGCAAACAGGACAAATGATCTGCCCTGTGTCCAACCCATGGACTTCACCACACACAGCCCTGTCGGACACTTCACCCTCCTCTTCACCCTCCTCTTCTGATGTTTCCTCATTTAATAATGTTCTTTGTGAAAATAGTAAGCAAACTGGCTAATTTCAATGTCTCATTACTCTACATTTTACAAATATTTGGTATGCGAAAGATACAATATAATTTATAATATATACACGAAATTATGTATCGAAGCGGATTAAGGGGAGTTTTTTTTAGCAATACAAAACTAATGTGACAATGCATTATTTTAGGGATGAGGCACGCACAATTGGATGGAAACAGTTTGTCGATAATAAATAGCATAAAACTGGATAGAAACGTGTGTGTCATCATTTCTAGGTCTAGTTCATTATTAGTTGTCTTGGTTTCTAATAGTTCTCACCTGTTCCCTGTTCAATTCCTGTTCTCCTCTGTCATTGAAGTCCTCTGTTCCTTCTGTGCATTGAAATGATAACTTTTTGTATGAATGCCGTAGTAGTGCAGTGTCCCTCTCATTAATATTACACTCATTGCTTATGGGTAATATTTCAGATTTGTTGATAGAAAAATGTCAAAAATGTATAGTTCATTTAAGACCTTTTTCCATTATTTATTGCCAAATCAGTGCCCAACTACAGGATTATTGTGTGTTTTAAACAGAGACACTTCTGTTGATGCTTTTAATCACAGATATTTTTGTCCTCAATCAATGGCTATAATTTATGCTATCTTTTAGATTTGATCTATATGTGAATTTTATCAGAAAGGGCATCAACATAATCTTTAAAATTATAAAGTAAGTAAAATAAGTATTTCTTTTAAAGTATAAAGCAAGCTCATATGAAGCAAGCTCCTCCTTAGCAGTTCTTCACAGTCCACACACACACACACACACACACACACACACACACACACACAGATACGCCATAAGCGCGATCAGACGTCCTCATCAACAACTCATTTCAGGTAAAATATTTTACGCATCAATTGACATCTATAGTTTATTTTAGTGTAAATTAATTAATTAATTGTTATACTTTGGCACATACAATTATATTTAATAGTTTTGGATTTGTTTGGACATTAGGCTACAAAATATACAATCATGCAAAATATTGCGAACAGAGTAAATGGCAACACTTTAGAATACTGTATCTCACTGCATAACTAATAAGGAATTATTGAAGAACTAGTAGGTAATTCTTCATTAACTACTTCTTCACTGCTGTTAACTACTAAGGGAGATGTGTTAACTAATCAGTATGTGAAGTTTATGATTGTGTTAAGTAACAGCTAGTTAATCAATAACTAATGAATTCTGTCATACCTCCTGAAGAACTACTACTAATTATCTACTAATTAAGGTTCAAGAAAAGTAACTAAGAAGTAACTAATAAACAGTCATACAAAACTACATTGAGTTGTGACCTTTCTTATTCACTAATGTTATTAATAGAAGTAGCAATTTTAACAAATACATATAATGTTAAAGTTAAATGTTTGCCTGTGTGGTTTTGTGAGTGTGTTCTGTAAGAAATCAACTTCAGAAAGGAACCATACACAAGTGCTTTGCCATAACTAACCTAAGATTAGTTTTATATTGTATATACAGTACTGTGTGTGTCTGTTTTCCTCAGCATAGAGTGCCATTGAATAAAGTCATGTATTTTAGGCAACAACTATTTATTTATAATTAGGCAACAAATTATTTATAACTTGGAACAGTATTCTAAAGTGAAAATACAGGGAACCCATTAGTAATTAATAATGAATTACCAAATACTTCTGACTAAAATAAAACTTACTGTAAAAAAAAAAAACACTAACGTAATCATCTAAACCTTTGTAAAATACACGACAATGACTCGTTTAAGCTACATGATATCTTCCTTTATTTCAGATGATATTTTGTTTTAACATGTATACTGCCTACATTTAAACTCGTTTAACAAACATTTTAAAATCAAAAGTTAAACCTTTAAAAGTCTTGTGTTCACGGTAGTGATTGCTGGATCTCTTGCGGGAGCTGGGCTCGTGTTTTAATTTTTTTGGATTAAATAAAACGTACACAAACCTGTATTTCGCAGAAGAAATGCACCACATCGGCGGCGCTGAGACTCTCCAGAAGGCGATGCTAATGCCCGCGCTCTTGCCTCACCAAATCACTGTAAAATGTGGGCTACCGTGATATTGCCGGAACTTGAATGGTGCAAAATAAGTTTAAAATGTATTAGAACTAAGTATAATAATAAAAATTAATTACCTCTGTACTTTTACTAAGGTCATTTTGAAAATGGCCTAATTATAATTTTACTGGAGTAATATTTTATTGGGGTATCTGTACTTTTACTCAAGCACTTGCTTTGTGTACTTCTTCCACCACTACAATGCTAAAAAAAAAACTGGATTATTGTAGTAAATACTGTGTATGACTGTTCATTAGTAGTTACTTCATAGTTATCTTTCTTGAACCTTAATTAGTAGATAATTAGTAGTAGTTCTTCAGGAGGTATGACAGAATTCATTAGTTATTGATTAGCTACACTGTAAAAAAAAAAAAAAAAACGTTAAATTTACAGGAAAACCCTGGCAGCTGTGGTTACCAGAGTTTTCCTGTTAAAAATACGGTAGCAACGTTTTAGGTTTTACAACTTTTAACCGTATATAATTTTACAGCAATAAACCGTATTTCATTATCTGATATAATGTTAATATACTGACCTTTTGAAGTATTAATATCTGTTTTTTTCCATTGTAATACACCGAGAGCCAACAATCACAGCAGTGATGAAAGTCAAATGGTCAACCAAAGCTCATCACAAGCATCTCTTTCACAAGAAAGTTAATACTAATATACAGAAGCTGCACAGTGTCATTCACACAAACATTAAACACCATTTTGGTAACATGTTGAAATTTAAAAAATGCAATAAGCATTAATTTAACAACATTAAATGTAACATAAAACCCTAATGTACATAACTGATTAGAAAAAAACTAAGAAAATTATGAAGAAACAGTTATTTAAAAACAAAATACATCAAATGTGAAGTGTCACGCAGGGAATTGTGGGAATGTCAATTTACATTTTTTCACTGTAAATTATACAATGACTTGTTCTTTTTCACTTCCAAAAACTGTAAATTTAACGGTATTTTACAGTAAAATTAAATTAAATGTACCATTATATATATCACAGTTATTTACCGTATATAGTAAGGAAACTTTCTGTTAACCAATTAACAGTTTTTCACTGTAGCATTTTTACAGTGTTTTACCGTTAAAATCACGATCATTTTTTACAGTGTAACTGTAACTTAACACAATCATAAACTTCACATACTGATTAGTTAACACATCTCCCTTAGTAGTTAACAGCAGTGAAGAAGTAGTTAATGAAGAATTACCTACTAGTTCTTCAATAATTCCTTATTAGTTATGCAGTAAGAAACAGTATTCTAAAGTGTTGCCGAGTAAATTTGAATGCTCTGATCTTTCTAGACGTCTATAAGCGAATGTAAGCCTTAGTAAAGCAAGAATCACGGTTTAATAAGTCTGGACAAGGGCATCAGATAATGCTTTAATCATAAATACTGTACGTGAAACACCGAACATAAAACAACATTGTTTTTTTTAAAAGTTTATTTGAATAGGGACAAGTATGTTTCATAAGCTCATGTTCCATACTACAACATTTTAGCCGAGGCTAATTCTCAATGTTAGTCCCTAGTGGGCCTTTACATAAAATTAAACAATACATAGTTAAAATAAACATAATAACACAATATAAACGCAGCGAACAGTCAGCGGTCACATTTCTGACCTCTGATTAAAGAGTCTTTAAGTTTGTATTTGAAAAGGACCCAGTTTGACTCTCCTCAGTTCAGTGGGTTAGCAGTTCCAGGCTTTAGTGTACAGAGAAAGCTGATTGTCCAAATGAAGTAGTTCCCGTTCTGAGCTCCTCTGAGAGCAACTATGCACTCACTCAAGACCTGTGGGGCTTGCTGATTTAAACATTTATGCATCAGCTTCAACAGAGAAAATTTAGTGAAATTTGCAAAAGATAACATATTCAAATTCCTCAGACTAACACCATGATGTGCCCTAATGGGCTTCCTATCTAGGATTTTAACCGCTCTGTTATAAATCACTTGAAGTGGCTTAACTGCAGTAACCATAGCCGGTGACCATGAGCAGATGCAGTAACTCAGATGCGAGAAGATCATGGCGTGGATGAAATTGTGAGCGGTATATAGTCCCTGATCAGTCTGAATGTAGAAAGATTTGCTTTGGCTACTCGACAGATTTTTTTTATATGATTGTCAAATTTAAGTTGAGAGTCAAGTACAAGGCCCTGGGGATTTGACCTCTGAGCCCTGCTGGATCTTATCCGTAAATTTAGTTCTTCTGATATGGACTTGAATCTTGAGGCAAAGCAAACAGACTTAGGGCCCTATTTTAACGATCTGAAACGCAAGTGTCAAAGCGCAAAGCGCAAGTAACTTTGTGGGCGGATCCCGGCGCTGTTGCTATTTTCCCGGCGGGATAAATGCCTCTTGCGCCTGGCGCAAATCTAAAAGAGGTTGGTCTGAAGGAGCTTCATTATTCATAGGTGTGGTTTGGGCGTAACGTGGAATAAACCAATCAGAGCGTCATCTCACATTCCCTTTAAGAGCAGGTGCGCATGTTGCATGGCGGATTGCTATTATAACGGCGGATTTACCAGGCGCGCGTCAGGAGCGGTTCACAGCCGAGGAGACCGACGTTCTTGTCAGGACCGTGAAAGACAGAGAAGTGACGTTGTATTGCGTGTTTTGCGTGCACCTGTAAACTATGGCATAAACCCTCATGCAGTAACACCCTCAGACGGCACTGTTTATTGACTGTCTGAAGTAGAATGCATGCAGAAATAACAAGAAATTCAACGTTCAAATCAGACTTATCTATCTATCTCTCTATCTATCTATCTCTCTATCTATCTATCTATCTATCTATTTATCTCTCTATCTATCTCTCTATCTATCTATCTATCTATCTATTTATCTATCTATCTATCTATCTATCTATCTATTTATCTATCTATCTATCTATCTATCTATCTATCTATCTATCTATCTATCTATCTATCTATCTATCTATCTATCTCTCTATCTATCTCTCTATCTATCTATCTATCTATCTATCTATCTATCTATCTATCTATCTATCTATCTCTCTATCTATCTCTCTATCTATCTATCTATCTATCTATTTATCTATCTATCTCTCTATCTATCTATCTATCTATCTATCTATCTATCTATCTATCTATCTATCTATCTATCTATCTATCTATCTATCTATTTATCTATCTATCTATCTATCTATCTATCTATCTATTTATCTATCTATCTATCTATCTATCTATCTATCTATCTATCTATCTATCTATCTATCTATCTATCTATCTATCTATCTATCTATCTATCTATCTCTCTATCTATCTCTCTATCTATCTATCTATCTATCTATTTATCTATCTATCTATCTATCTATCTCTCTATCTATCTATCTATCTATCTATCTATCTATCTATCTATTTATCTCTCTATCTATCTCTCTATCTATCTATCTATCTATCTATCTATCTATCTATCTATCTATCTATCTATCTATCTATCTATTTATCTATCTATCTATCTATCTATCTATCTATCTATCTATCTATCTATTTATCTATCTATCTATCTATCTATCTATCTATCTATCTATCTATCTATCTATCTATCTATCTATCTATCTATCTATCTATCTATTTATCTATCTATCTATCTATCTATCTATCTATCTATCTATCTATCTATCTATCTATCTATCTATCTATCTATCTATCTATCTATCTATCTATCTATCTATCTATCTATCTATCGTGGGTGGGTTTCTCCCATCCCCATACAAATCAGCGTCGGTTAAACAGGCGTGGGAGGAAAAAAACTAAATTTTCATGGACACCACAATGATTTCCCTCATGTGTTAATATTTTTCCTTGTTATAATGTATGATTTGCAAAAATAAAAACTGCTGCATCTGTGTTGATGAGAGAATCAAAGTGTATGCGTGTTGTGCACCCGCTACATTATGGCCAAGCATGCGCGCTTAAAATAGCATTATGAACAACGCGCAACGCGCCACTGACTTTAGACTAGTTTTTTTCTGGTCAGTGGCGCAATTGTTTTATAGAACAGCAAAATAGCATGAGGGAAAGTTTGCGCCGGAACACGCCTCCTCTTTGCGCTGAACCGCCCCGGGGAGCGCAAGTGTATTTCTTAGTTAACTGACGTGCGTCTGTGGAGGGAAAAGCCCGCTTTGCGCGGGTGCAAAATAGGAATGATACATGCGTCAGTGTACAAAGTCATTTGTGTTATTTGATTGTATGAAAGCCATAAGCTGACCATACACAATTTTTTCGAACACCTTTGTAAATACAGGTAAGATACTTACGGGTCGATGATTGCCTGGTCAGGTGTTCCTGACTTAAACAATGGCATAGCTTTCGCCTGTTTGTCCGCTCTGAATTGTCCGCTCTGAATAGACAAGTTGATCAAGTGTGTCAGCGGCTTTACAAAAGTGTTTTTATTTCGTTTCAAAAAGACTGAATATAACTGTTGTTAACTGCATTTATAGCTTCAAGCACTTTTGCTTCATTGATCTGCTGAAGTGAGAATGGAGAATATTGGATTATTGATTGATGATTACTGAATTTTAGTTGCGGTTCTGCATTAACTTGTTGCACCAGTTCTTCCACACTGACGAAACAAAAAACGTATTAAATTCCAGTGCTATTTGTTTACTGTCCCTAATCTAAACTGCCTAAGCTCATGGATGATCTTTGATTTGCCTGACGGTTGCACAATACCATTTATTTGCTTCCACATTATAAGAGGGCTTCCCTTGGCTTCTGTTATTGTTGTACTGTAGTACTCATTGAGTGAGTTGTGAACTGCAGAATATGAATGCTTAATTACAGGTGAAAACTTTTCCTAAAATGGAAACCAGCAAGATCATCTCATCTGATAAAGCCACAGTGGTCATCCAAGTGAATCCACAGGTGACACAGAATATCGTGCCTGGAGATGATGGACAGGAGAGCAGAGGAGCACACCGCAGTACGGCTCTTACTGGGTTTTCCAAATCACAGCCAAAGGCACTGGGGGTAATGCATTTAATGAAGAATTATAATTAGGTATGATTTGGGCAATATTTTTAGTGTCTAATTTACTTCTGTGTAAAAAATTAACAGAAAATAAAAAACTGTTATCATATGACCTCAAGTTAATAGGTGTGTGTGTGTTCGTGTTTGTGTGTGCCATTATGAAGAACACTATTGACTCATATCTGCCCTGTCTAGACTGTCCAGATAATGATTGGAGTGGTGGTTTTATTATTGGGTATCGTACGCACCGCCACTACCCCCCGTTACCCACCTATCTCTGTCTTCAGTGGCATCACCTACTGGGGATCCGTTACTGTAAGTGTCATTTAATGGTTTTACTTTAAAGCCTCTCTTCTTGATTACCAGAATGAACTGTGAAATGTCCTGTGTCTCTCAGTTCATCAGTGCTGGATCTCTGTCTGTTGCTGCGCAGAATAAACTTCATCTGTGTGTGGTATGTACATATGTGCTGAAATCTGATAACCTTTCTTTTGCCACATTGTTTCTAATGTATTCATACAATATTATTATTATTATTAAATCATTACAAGCTGTCATACTACACAACATTCCACTTGTGCTCATCCCCAGTCCCTGCCATTGAGTGATCAGTGATTAGTTGAATGAAAGTGAGAAATGTAGAATCTCCTATAAAGTTATTTTTACATCAAATTGCAGCTATTCTGTCAAAATGTATATACATATGAATAATTACAAATTGAGGCAAATAAGTTTTATAAATGCCATAAATTCCCCCTAAAAAACTCTCTTTTACCACAGTAGTCAGAAGCTTGCACATTAATCTCAGATCTCTTATAGAATAATGACCCATTTTTACTATTAAAGGAATGTGGACTAAACGGAGATCTGACTCATTATCAATTTACATATTTAAAACCTGCAGTTCAGGACATTTTATAAGTGTACACCTTTACTCTTCCGGTCACCCTTCACATGTCAGCTTTGTCCCCTGCAGGTGAAAGCCTCTCTTATAATGAATGTGTTCAGTGCCATAACTGCAGCGATCGCCATTGTTCTGATGTCCATAGAGATGGAAATTAAGATTTCCTATCCAAGGTGGAGCTATGGCGATGGTAGTTCTTATGACCGCTATAATTTGAAGGTACTAAATGTACAATGTGCAATACTATATAATTATGTGATCAGTTTTTTTTTCTTTAATTACTGTTTACTCTAATAGTTCACCCAAAAATGACAACTGTGTCATCATCTACTAATTGAAACCATTTTTTACTAATAAAGATTGTCTTTCCAATAGTTATAATGACTAACGACGCAAAATTGTGTTTTAAATAACACAAAAGGCATCATAGAAGTATCATAAAAATGACAAAGTAATCCATGTGACTTGTGCACTCAACCTCAATATAATCGATTGGATATTATTTGTAATCTACTTTTATTTGATCTTGTTGAATATATTTTAGGGCTATGATCTGGGGATCGTTGGAGTAATGCTGGTGTTCTTCATTACTCAGTTCTTCATCTCCATCTGTGTCTCAGCATTTGCCTGCAAAGCCTCCTGTAACACGGACTCTACAGTGGTCAATGTGGCACTAAACCAGGTGTACGATTAAGTGGAAATTATGTAATTTTCTAACTATAACCAGGGTGGCAGTCAGTTTGATCCCAACAACAAGTTTTGTATTTTTAAAATTTAGGTTTAAAAAAGCCACAACCAACCAGAATATGTTTAATTGTAAGCTGCCTTTGACCTCACTGGTCTAAAACTAGGACTATATACGGAACATGTTCAAATTTTAAATAAACTTTTTTTAGTCTTGTATTTCTGAAATAGTCATGCTACATAGAAAACAACTAATTTACTACTAATTAAAAACAACAACTGCACACAGTATGCAAACAATTCAATTCAATTCACGTTTATTAGTATAGCGCTTTTCACAATACTCAGAGCAGCTTTATAGAAAAGGCATGAGTTCACATTACACTGTTATCAGAGGAAACTGTCCAAGTTATGCATTTCAGAAATGTAAATATACAAAGTCATAGTTAGCTAAAATATACTAATTTAAACAATGTAAGAATTCAATGCAGATATAATGAGCTCATTGAAATAATGAATACTTGTTAACAAATGATTATAACATTTAGAAAATATAGCATTAGTGCATGTTGATTCAAAGTCAGCGTCAGCTGAAGTCTTCGCAGGAGTTGGCGCTGAATATAGGAATATAGGAACTATAAGTCAATCACAACTTAACTGAGGCCTTTATGGTGGGTAACAGGGTAACACGTTACAATAACAGTACATGAATAATTCAGGTATTAGTACATGATTAATAATTACTTTACTATGAACTAATGATGAGTTAAGACATGTACTAATGAAGAACTAACCTTAACTACGACATGAGTCATATGAATGTATACCATCTTAACTACACGTTAATACATGCTTGTTAATTAATATATTAAACTAAATCAAACATGCTCTAGATTAGAAGAAAGATGTATTAAAAGGGCACAATGTAAAATTATTCATAAATTTGCCACCAGCAACTGTCACAAACATCAGTGAATGACACTAGATGTCTTGCAATATTTACATTTAACCTTACTCATTGAACACACAATGATGCATTCATCACTAAAAACTATTTAATCTCATTCCGTTTTAAGCGATTCCACTGCTGCCATCAAGAGTGAAATACCTACACTAACATATCCATTAAACAGATGCAATTTATCAAAATTAAAATCAGTGTTAGCACAGATGATGGTTATTTCTGTGGTGATTTTGTGGACTGGTTTACTGTCTTTATATCATAATGCAGTCAGATGTTAGTCTTGTTTTCTTGCTCTTCTTTGGGGTCACTATTGCCCCTTTAAAATGTGTCCACTTTCCTCCTACCGTTCAGTTCCTTCTCCATCCAAATGTGGGCACAGCACCTCTGCTCTTCCACTTCTTTACAAACCACCGAAAAGCACCAAACGATATCTGATTTAGAAGAGCTGAATATGTATAGAACATGTGTAATTGATAACTTTTTTAAGATGTACTCTTGGAGGGCCAAGACAAGAAATGACATAATGATACATTAACAAGTCATGAATTCATGTTACTTTATGAGTAATTAATGAGGAGTTAGTAATAATGTGCCCCCTCAAGTAAAGTCATGACACAGTCAACAAGCCATTACTTTATGTTAGTTTGTTGTTGTTGTTGTTGTTTACTTTATTTATACCCGTAGGTAAATTTGTTTTACAGTGCAATGACATTCTATGGCATCCAATACAAAAAAAACACAAAACACAGGACACTACACTACACATAAGGACAGATAAGTAAATACTCATAAACTTAGTGAAGTGCTCTCAAGAGCATTTCATATGATCTGTTTAATGTCATAAAATCATAAGACCCCTAGTACATATCTGAAAAACACCTCTACAATTTGTTAAGCATATCAATCGCATTTGTTACGAAGCTGCTTTTATATCTTTTCGTTCTACACCTGGGGACTTTAAACCTCCTCGCAGACGGTAATAACTGAAACTCATTTCGCAAAGGGTGAGAGTCATCATTTAAGATTGAAAGGGCCATCCTTTGTAGTTATTTGGCATATAGTGATGCCTCTCCTGGTTTTGACTCACCTATCAAACGGCCAGACCATTTAACTATCTGGTCTAGCTGATTTTTTGCCTTTAATAATATCAGTGAGCTGCTTAAAATTGGACACTATAACAATATCAATAAACATTATCATTATTTTTAAATGTATTTATTAATTAAAAGTTTGTTGCCTCAGGGTAACATTGTACCACAATGGACAAATTGAAACATTTGACATTTTCATGAAGAAAAAAATTATAGATTTATTGAAAACATCAATTTATTTAACTAAACACTTGAACAAACACATGTATCAAGTTTTTAATGAATTACACATTTCATATTTAATAAAAAGTAACATTTATTATCCACCTGTTGCCCTCAGGCAACATTGTACCATCGTGGAACGCAAGTACTACAAACCATCATATCAAGTTACCATATCAAAACATTACAATCGGTGTTGTTTCAGGGTAAAACATTAACAATCACCATAACATTTTCCTAATATGAAGGCCAGGCCTGAACAACAGCAAGATCAAACATGTGGAAGACCTCCCAGGCCGACCTAATGACCCGTGTGAGGTCAGGGGGGCCTGACACCACCAGGGGTCCGACGGGAGCACCCCAAAATCCGAAAATCCCAGAAGCAGCACCGTCTCTTCATCCTGTGTGGCACCACACGCCCCCGTCCCACTCACCCACTATTTGTCCAATTACCCACTATAGTGGCCAAATGTCCCGTTTGACCCAACTGAACGGTCCAAAGCCACGACCCCGTCCCACAAACCCACTATTTGTCCGATTACCCACTATAGTGGCTAAATGTCCCGTCGACCCCGGCTGACCACTCCCAAGCCACACGCCCCCTCCCACTCACCCACTATTTGTCCAATTACCCACTATAGTGGCCAAATGTCCCGTTGACCCCACTGAACGTTCCCAAGCCACGACCCCGTCCCACTCACCCACTATTTGTCCAATTACCCACTATAGCGGCTTAATGTCCCGTCGACCCCGGCTGACCACTCCCAAGCCACACGCCCCCTCCCACTCACCCACTATTTGTCCAATTACCCACTATAGTGGCCAAATGTCCCGTTAACCCCACCGAACGTTCCCAAGCCACGACCCCCTCCCACTCACCCACTATTTGTCCAATTACCCACTATAGTGGCCAAATGTCCCGTTGACCCCACTGAACGTTCCCAAGCCACGACCCCGTCCCACAAACCCACTATTTGTCCGATTACCCACTATAGTGGCTAAATGTCCCGTCGACCCCCGCTGACCACTCCCAAGCCACACGCCCCCTCCCACTCACCCACTATTTGTCCAATTACCCACTATAGTGGCCAAATGTCCCGTTGACCCCACTGAACGTTCCCAAGCCACGACCCCCTCCCACTCACCCACTATTTGTCCAATTACCCACTATAGTGGCCAAATGTCCCGTTGACCCCACTGAACGTTCCCAAGCCACGACCCCGTCCCACAAACCCACTATTTGTCCGAATACCCACTATAGTGGCTAAATGTCCCGTCGACCCCGGCTGACCACTCCCAAGCCACACACCCGTCCCACGAATCCGCTATTTGCCCGATTACCCACTATAGTGGCCAATAGTGACTGTCGAACCATGCTGAGTTTTCAGATTGTAAAAATCCAGATACATTTAGATAGTTCAAACTCTTTTCCTTACAATTAAACTATACTTGTATTCAAACCTAGTATGCCTGGTATGGCCTTATGTGATTCCATTACGGTACAATGTTGCCTCGAGGCAACATGCAGTTTTATGTAATTCCCTATGATACATATGATGATATATAATGTAATGTTTTTGAAAATACTTCTTTACTAACCAATGAACGTGACTAAGATTTTTTGTAGTTGATTATCTGGACAGAAATTAGTGAAAAATGCCCTTGTCAGTGGAGAAAATATGGAGCCATGTGACATGTGCACTTGTGCTGAAAGAGGGAACACAATGGACCCCTGTGGGTCATGTTACCACTCTTTTGCATTTTCATTGGTTAGTATTTGAGTTCCCCTCCCCTTAGAGAGCATTGACAAATAAAATTGTATTAGTTTTTATTTAAAAAAAGCTAAAATAGACTATGTTGCCTGGAGGCAACACCGTACCATAGAGGGTTAAGGATATATGACCGTACCATACTAAAATGGAAAATGACAAAACAGATTCTATAAAAGCATGATAAAACATCTTCATTATTGTTTTATCAAGATTAAATGCAGGTAATCTCCTTAGGCAGTACAAACGCTGGTGCCCCTTTTTGTTCAGAGCCTCACAATTCTCTTCAAATTTTAGTTTCTCATCAATTATGGTCCCAAGGTATTTGTATGATTGTACACACTCTATTTTTTGGCCTTTAATTAAAGTAGGATCCCTTGAATGAGTACTTTTCCTAAAATCGATGAGCATATCTTTGGTCTTTAATATATTTAACTGTAAATAAGAATCATCACACCAGTTGACAAAGTGCTCAATAATTGGACCATGTGAGGTCTCATTCTCCATAAGTAAACTCAAAATCATCCGCATATTTTATAATAAATCTGTTCTCATACATGCTTTGACACATGTTAGTATATAAAATAAATAAAAGTGGGGACAGCACACATCCTTGAGGAGACCCTGTAGAGGAACTCATCTGTTTAGACAAGACACCATTAACTTTTACTCTTTGTGTTCTATTAGTTAGGAAATTCAAAATCCAACCAATCAAATTATTGCTTAACACAAACTGATCTACAAGCCTCTTAATTAAAATGTGTGGTTGAATTGTATTGAACGCCGAAGAAAAGTCAACGAATAAAAGTCTAGCATGTGTCATTTGTCCATCCAAGTGTCCTAATAGCAAATTTAACATTGTGACTGTAGCATCCTGTACTCCTCTGTGAGGTCTATATGCAAACTGCATAGGGTCCAATTGATGTTCTGTCCACCTCAAAATCTCAGACCGTACTAATTTCTCAAGGATTTTCATTAAAACGGAAGTCAAAGCGACCGGCCTAAAATCATTTAGCATCTTAGGGCCTCTACATTTAGGGACCGGAATGACCACCGCATCCTTCCAAAGGATTGGTACATGTTGTGTTTCAGAGACTTATTATAAATTTCATGAAATACAGGGCTCAATTCTTTTGCACATGACTTTAATAGTCTGCCACAAATGCTATCAGGACCTGGACTCTTATTTGGCTTAACACGTCTGAAAGCTTTTTCAACATCCTGAAGGTCAATGTTAAAATGCTGATCATCCATTAACTTAACGCTCAGTTCCTGGATTTCTTTACTAAAATTCGAATTGTCAAAACGACAGTAAAAATCGTTTAGTGCATTTGCTAGTTCAAAATCAGAACTAAAACCATTTAAAATAATCTGATTCTGATTACTGCAGTTTGAGTTTTGAAGGCCTGCTATGGTTTTCATATTTGCCCATGCTGAGCCAGGATTTTTGGATGCCATCTTATTTTCTAGTTTTTCCTTATAGCTTTGTTTAGCTTTAAGAATTTCAATCTTCAAATCCTTAGTAGCCACATGTAAGTCCATAGTTGTTCCGTGTTTAAATGCAATTTTTTTCCTTTGTAAACAGGACTTGACTGATTTAGTAACCCAGGGCTTATTGTTCGAATAGATTTTTACCTTTTTACATGGAATTATCATATCCCTGCAAAAAGCCATATATGAACATTTAACATCAACCATTGAGTCCAAATCGTCACCACAGTCCTGTTCAAAAAAATTTTCCAGTCTGTGCAGCTATAACAGTCTTGTAGACAGGACACAGCATCTTCTGACCACACTCTGATGTCCTTGGTCACAGTTTTCTCCCTTTTTAAAATAGTCTTATATGTAGGCAGCAAATGTACACAATTGTGATCTGACGAGCCCAAGGGTGCCAAGGGTACAGATTTGTATGCACCTCTCACCGATCCATAACACAGATCTAAAGTCTTTCCCCGTCTGGTCGAACAGGAGACATACTGATGGAAAGTTTTAAGAGTCTGTTTTAAGGATACATGATTAAAATCCCCAAGAATGAAATTTGGTGCCTCCGGTGAGCAGTGGCGGATTTAGCAAATTGGGGGCCCAAAGCGAAGGTACGTATGGGGGCCCCCCATATCATCTTTAGGAGAACGGGGGGAAAAAATTACAGACTGAATGGTAGGAAAAGCTAATCTACGGGGAAGTAAAGGTTGGAGAGGAGAAAAAAAAACCTTCCCCAACAGAGAATAAGGTTTCAGATAACACCTGTCTTTGCCAAAATGCCAGGAAACCCAGCACTGTTTATTCTTTTTTTAAGATCAAATCAATATCAATATAACCAGCAAGACAAGTAGTTAGGGTAAACCCCCTCAAACAGCCATATTAGCAAATATTGCCAAGATGAATAGTTGACTTTGTATGAGTGAGTGAGGTTGCAATTGGCATTGCACTTGAGATTGACATTTCAAACATTCTACAAACAAACATTTTTATAGGTTTGTATTAGTTTATATATTTTATAATGTAATAATTTCACAGTCAATCTACAAATGAATGTAGAGACAACATAAAGACAGTATATTTTAAATACTTGTTTAATGGCATCTTTTTATGAATGAAGGTCGATATCACTGATACTAATACAGCTATTGATGTCTGGATAGAAAATATTTTTTCCCCTAATTTTAAACATTAATTATAGCCATCCAACATTACAGTGTAATTGAAAGCCAAAAAATTTACATTTTGTTAGGCTTCAAAAAATATATAACAACTTTTAATTTACGTGAACTTAAAACACTCATCAGATAAACCCATAATAAATGTCATATTTACTTTTGCCCTTTCAGTCTAACAGTATACACGTTCTCCTCAACTAGCGTCACTTCACAGCTGCTGCTGTAGCGGCATGTATCCCCAACAGTAGGCGTAAAAAGGTTTGTCATTTTTGGCAGCGTTGCCAAATACATATCGGCGTCTTTTGTCTTTTTTTCTTTTATTTGAGCCGCTTGGGTAACTTCGTTTTAATTTTCGCGTTTAGACTCGTCTTGCTTCGTTGTCCTGCTTCCCAGTCCTCCTGTCATGTTCATCTTTCGCGGTTTCGCGCCGCGCACCGTTACGGACTAGTCCATTTTATTGCGAAAGTAGGGGGTGTTATGTGTAGAGACAGATAACCATGAACTGGACATTTTAACTACTACTTCAACATTTCAACGTATTTCTTAAGAATATTAATAACATTTACTATGCTTTTGAAGCGTTCATGAGGATAAGGGGCTTTTTCTTTTCTTTTATATATATATTTTTTGAGGTTGGTTGGGGGCCCCCCTACTATGACCGCTGGTAGGGGGCCCCAAGCAGCCGCCTACCTATGCCTCTATGTTAAGACCGCCACTGCCGGTGAGATTGACTGTAACCTCTGTACAACATCAAATACTGTACTAGTAGCCGATGCGGGGTTCGCCTTCGGTTGAATGTAGACAATTGTAATAAAAATCTGAGGGAACTCTCGAGGTACATAGAACGGTCTCAAGGACACCGATAAAAGTTCTACATCAGGTGTACGCTCTCTGACAGTAACACATGAGCAATACCGCTCATTGACGTACAAACATACCCCTCCTCCTTGGGTTTTCCCCGTCACCTCTGATAGTCGATCCAAACGAAAGGGGGCTCCGAATCCATCCATACACAAATCAGCGTCCCGGTTTAAAACTTTAAGAGCACTCCTTCAATAAAACAAAAACGAAACTTTAAAACATTAAAACAAAGGAAAAAACGTTTGTCAAACATATACGAGGACGCCGAACACTCATTCACTGCCAGTCGCTGCGTGCGCATGCGCCTGTTGCAATAGTGTATGGTTAGTTAATCATGAGTTAGTAATGACGTGCCCCCTCAAGTAAAGTCATGACACAATGATGCACTAACAAATCATTAACTAAAATATGAATAAACATATACAATAAGTGCCATCCTTATTCCTTTACACCCATGGTACAAAAAACAAAACAAATATAAAAACGATGTGTAGTTCTTTTTATTTTAATAAGGTATACGCTAATGCTAATTGAAGCATATATGTTTAAACACTTTTTGACAACACTTTTTAAACTTTTTGACAACACGTCTCACCACGAGTGAATGCTGGCGCAACTTGCTGCCGCTGCTCGCTGGTAACCTCTTATCTTTTGACTTTACATACTCACTTTTTGGTTCTAAGACCTAATCGGACATTGTAATTGCCTTCATTTGGAATACTTTATTGAACTAACGGCACTACCGTTTGTCTGAGTCTTCACAGTTAGCTCACCTGTTCTGTTCTGGTTTGAGCCTCATATGGCGTTTTCACTGGCCGTCGATGCTGCTTAAATCTTCCTGTACAATGTGGGCCAGTAGAACATACATCTTGTTTGTCTGTGTCTGGCTCTTTTTACTGCCTGTTCACCTGCTAGTGACGGGTTTGCTTCAGTATCTGGCCATTGACCTGCTCCGACTGTGCTGTCACCAGCCTGGACCTGCGCCGGAGGCTTTCCATCTTCTCCATCGCCTTCCAGCCTCGTCGGAGATATATCCACCGAGGGTCCTGCCGGAATTTCCACCACAACAACTCAACAGTAATAAAGTCCATCTGGTCCAGCTCACGTTGCCCTCCACGCTACATCAACCGGGCTGTCAACCACAGTGTGTTAGCCCGCCTAGCTCGATCGGCTAGCACCACCACCAGCTGTGACAACACTGCACTGAACTTCGCTCTGCTCAACATCCGCTCACTGACAGACATCTCATCCAGGACCTCAACTCCGATCGTAAGCTAGACTTTCTCTGTTTAACTGAGACATGGCAACAGGCCAACGACTTTTCTCAGCTCAATGAATCCACTCCTAGTGGGTGTGTTTACATCTGTTATCCCCGTGGCTCCGGCCGGGGAGGAAGTTTTGCGATAATTTATCGCGAGAAGTGGAAAGTCTCGCTGATATCCGTGCCTGTCTCTAGCTTGTTTGAATCTGCTGTCTGCAAGTTGTCTGGTCCCACCCCAACCATCATTGCTACTGTCTAAAATTGCAAAACCGAATAGTGAATTTTAAATGATTTTGCTGCCTTTCTCACTCTCACCTAACATAATACTGCTAGGTGATTTTAATATCCTCTAAAAGACTTCATCTCCTGCCTTGAGAGTTTTGGATGCCAGCAATGTCACGGTTCGTAAATACATTGTTCCTTCTTGTCTCGTGTAGTTGTTGTTATGTGTGTGGACGTGTGTGATTGTGGGCGTGACGGCTCGTTTCACTTGATCAGCGATCAGCTGATCAATCTCCCCTCCAGCTGCATCCAATCTGCTCTCCCATAAATACTCACTGCATTCTTCTCTCCTTGTCAGCTCATTGTTTGATGTTCTCGTTTGTTGTCCTGTTCCTGTCGTCCTTGCTGTGTTGCGGTTCGTTCCTGTCCTGGTTCCGGTTTCTGTTCGTGTCTGGATTACTCACCATCACTCTTCGTCACCTCAGCACTCTTCTCTTGGACTCTGACCATCTTGTCCCTGCGTCACCAAACGCTCTTGAGACTGTTCATCATTCTACCTAATAAACGAGTTACTTGCACTTTTGCTTCCGCCTCATTCGTCATGACAGAACGATCTGAACCTCAGATGGAAGCAGCGGGTAGTTCGTCGGCGTTGGAGGATTTTGTGAACACCAGCATTAGACGCATGGACAACCAGGAGAGAGGTCTTAACGACACTACTCGGGCCGTGCAAGCTTTGGTGACACAGGTGTCCGAGCTCACCCAGCAACTACAACATCTGCAAGCTCCCACTGCACCACCGGAGAGCGCTCTACAGCCGGAGCCCCGCCTACCTGTTCCACAATCCTATGCCAGTGAGCCTAATTATTGCAGGGCATTTTTGACTCGGTGCTCTATGCATTTTTCATTGCAGCCCAGGAGCTTTTGCAACGAACAGGCTAAGGTAGCCTTTTTGCTCACGCTGCTCACGGGGAAGGCAGCATTATTGGGGATGTCGGTGTGGGAGAACCAAGATCCCTGCTGCGCCTCGTTCCAGGCACTCGCCGCCGAGATGAAGAGGGTGTTCGACAGAGCCATAGCCGGGAGAGAGGCAGCTCGCATGCTCACCGAACTCAAGCAGGGTGAAAAGTCGGTGTCAGAGTATTCAATCGAATTCAGAACCCTGGCGGCTGAGTGCCGTTGGAACGAGGAGGCGCAGTGGGACATATTCCTGCATGGGTTAGCTGACCGCGTCTAGAAGGAGATTTATGCCCTGGACCTCCCCACTTCGCTGAATGCCCTGGTGGACCTGGCCCTCCGGGTTGATGCACGCCTGACCAGAGTGGAACGGTGGAGACTGCCCAGTCGGTCTCTAGAGGGTGTCGAGAGTCAGCGGTCCAGCGGCGGGGACGCGGTCAGCCCCGTCTACGATCACGAACCATGCAGGTCGGGCGAGCTCGACTTTCTCGGGAGGAGAAGGAAAGGCGGATATCCCAAGGGCTCTGCTTGTACTGCGGGGCCTCGGGTCATTTCGCCTATAACTGCCCAGTAAAAGGCACAGCCCGGCAGTAAGTATGAGGCTACTGTCGGTGGGATCTCCGCTGCGAAGACCTCATCTACATCTACACTCCTCCCGGGAAGACTAAGATGGTCAACTCACGATCACAATTGTCAAGCACTGGTGGACTCGGGAGCCGAAGGTAATTTTATGGACCATTCGTTTGCACGCAGATTTCAAGTTCCTGTTTTACCACTCACACACAAGATAGCAGTCCACGCACTCAACGGCCAAGATCTACCCACCATCTCTCTCATCACCGAACCCAACACGCTTATTACTTCTGGCAACCATTCGGAAATGATTTCATTTTATGTTCTGGACTCCCCTCTTGCACCCATTGTGCTGGGGCACCCATGGCTCATCAAGCACAACCCAAAAATAGACTGGCAGCAGAGAGCAGTATTGGAGTGGAGCAGTAAATGTCATGAGTCCTGTCTTGTGTCTGCTTGTTCGTCTGTTTCTGTCTCTGTCTTTCAGGAGGAGGCAATGGATTTATCTAACGTGCCCACGGAGAATCTAGACCTGAAGGAAGTGTTCAGTAAGTCTCGTGCTGCTTCTCTCCCTCCGCATCGTCCCTATGACTGTGCCATAGATTTACTGTCAGGTAAATCTATTCTTCTGCCTCTTTATCTTCTCCTCATCAGGGTTGTCTTCAGCGTCAGACTGCAGCTGCTCTTCAGCGTCGACCTCGCCGGCTTTTCTCTTCTTCTTCTTCTTGTCTTTCGGTGTGGTCTCGCGCGCAGCGACGGCCCGTTCGGGCTCCACCAGGGAGTAATCGGTGAGCTCCTCGAAGCACACCAGGCCGTCGAGCCCCTGGTCCGAGAACAGACTGGGGTCCACATCCACGGGCTTCCACCGGCCCCGGACCACGATGCCCCGCCGGGAGGACAGCAGGCGCCCGCTGCCCTTCTTCACCTTCTTCTTCATCTTCATCTCCTGCGGGAGAGAGAGAGAGTCAGAGGAACAGCGGTGTGCAGGTACGGCCATATGTGTGCATCGGTACATACATCATAATTCAATTTAATGACAAAATGAAGAATAGCATATTCATCAAGAGAGATGAGATTAGTGTCATCTATCGTGTGGTCAGGAGCAATAATGAAGGTGGGTCATCTGACTCTTAATTTACCCTGTTATTGGAGCATTTACTCTACAGTCTGAGCAAACATGAGGAATACAGGACTTTGGGTTTGTGTGTGCTGAATATGGGCTGGGAAATCATGAGATAAAACGATCCTGCTGCAACTCATCATGTAAACACTATAGACTTAAATATAAAAGTTGACTGTAATAATTCAATTCACATTTGTCCACATTACACTTTACAGTGATCTGTTATCAGAGGAAACTGTCTAAGTTATGTATTTCAGAAATGTACATATACATAATCACAGTTAGATAAAAATGTATTAATTTAAACAATGTAATAGTTTAAGGCAGAAACAATGAGCTCATTGAAGTAATGAATACTATACTAGTAATATAAAGATACTTAAACAAAAACAGCATGGCATTATAAAAGGTTACACTTCATTTTAAGGTGTCCGTGTTTAAGCACCGGGTAATTTTAATTAACAACAAATACATACTATAGGATTAAAGTTATCGTTTGGTTGAGGGTTAGTTGCTATTAATTATGCATAATTCACTGTCATTACTACAGTAAGTACAGGTATGTAACAACAGGACACGGTGAAATAAAGTGTTATAATACTATGCAAAACAAGGTAATCTCATTGTATGTGTGTTGTAGCTTAGTAATATCACTGAATGTGTTCCGACAATCTACAACAAGCACATTACACTCTAAAAATTGCTGGGTTAAAAACAACCCAATTGGCAACCCAGCGCTGGGTAAATATTGGACAGAACACATGCTGGGTTAAATTGACCCAGTGACATTTCAACCCAGCATGCTGGGTTGTTGAGAAAACCCAAGATGTAGTCATTTTTTACCATTAATGGATTTGCTATTCTGGGTTATTTTTGCTGGGTTATTCTTATAATTTCACCTGTGCTTTACTGTTAACTATGAATCAAGAAATAATGAAATAAGAACATGTTAGACTGTCAAAATAATCTTTTTTAATGCTTGTCAACTGACATTCACAAACGTGTTAAAATTGGAAGCACATTAAATTTAAATGCAAAAATCATTTAGTGCTGCAAAGTTAAATATTGTCAGTAGTAAATAGCCTACGGCACCTGTCAAAATGATTGATTGCAGGTGGGCGTGTCTATCCTTTGATCTTCCCCCGCCCCTTCCGGTTCCTCCCCTTCCTGCCCCACCCCCTTGGCCCACCCCTTCCGGTTCCGCCCCTTCCTGTTACCTTTGACCTAGTTTCCGCCCCTTCCTGTTACAGCTTCTGTCAAAATGATGGATGATGACCTTTATCTAGTTCCGCCCCTTGTGGTTACAGCTTCTGTCAAAATGATGAACTGTTTGAAGTTTGTTTGATCTAGTTCCGCCCCTTGCAGTTAAAAAGTTTCTGTCAAAATGATGGATTGTTTGAAGTTTGTTTGATCTAGTTCCGCCCCTTGCAGTTAAAAAGTTTCTGTCAAAAATGATGACAGTTTGTTTAATCGTTTGAAGTTAGTGTTTTGTTACAAAGCGATGGATTGTTATTATTTAGCGCATCCCCTCGCTATGCCTAAGCTTATCATAGCAGGTGTGTGTGAAAGTGATAAGAAAAAACTGTTATAGTTTATCTGTTCTTTAAAAGAATATAAAATAAAATCTTACATGTTTAGAGAGCAGGGGTTTTCTTCCCACACGGTAGCGCCGGATCTCTCTGAAAACTATCTCCAATTATAATTTTTTGGACCGTAGGGAGTCGTTTGTGTGTGTGTGTGTGTGTGTGTGTGTGTGTGTGTGTGTGTGTGTGTGTGTGTGTGTGTGTGTGTGTGTGTGTGTGTGCACGCGTATGTTGCAGTGGCATGGATCTCCTCCCCTCCCTCCACATTGCTGGGGACCTTGAAAGTTTATCTCACACAGAAGTTGAAAAAAGCATGTTGTTCATTTAAAATCTTACTAAATTACTGAAGTTGAAAAGCATTCTGTTCCTTTAAAATAAATATTTGACAAATTTACTGTAGCAATTATGTTAGATAAAAATAAAATCATCTTACATTTTTACCAGGGTTGAAGTAGCTCCTAGCACATAGATGTCCATATTGACCATTTAAAGTTGAAAAGAACCCCCAGATTATTTCTGTCTTTCTCACACCAGCGTTTGACAGTCAGAGGGGTGTGTT